TCCTTTTGTACCTCAGTGCATTAGTACTTAGGTGTTTAAAAGAGACACAACACCTTTGCCTAAGTCATTGCCTGTTTCAACATGGAAAGCATTTTCCCATGACAGGAGTCGGTCTGGGTTCTGGGCAGGTCCGTGCTGCATCATCCGTGTCAGAAGTAAAAGGCCTGGCGTTGCTTTGGGGGTCTACTAACGGGAGGACGGCGAAAGGAGGGGGAAGGAGTGGATGGCGCCAACGATTGAGTTTTCTGAATCAAACCAGTGTCTGTTGGAGGGATAGCCAGAATTGCCCGTTGCAAGTGTAAACTTTTTTCTTAGCCTTATGTTTTTTCTTACAGATTAACACAGTTTCATCCTGCTCTGTGATGTGTCTGTTTATTATGAAAATCAGCTTCCTCTTGGGGCTTTGGGAGTCTTGATCTAGGTGTTGCTTACATAGGTGTGTTCAGTTTGTGGAAATTCATGGAGCTGTCCAATTATACTATAGTGTGCTTTGTATTGTGTGTGTTATATTTCATGATAAAGATTTAATTAAAAACAAAAAAGCATCTCCAAATGTATCTGAGCTCCAGGGAAATCGGTGAAGTGTGTTCTCCCTAGTACTCCTTGCGTTGACGAATATCTCAATTTGAGGCATGCAGGGTACTAGAAATTTTAAGCAGAGCTCGACATGGTTTGTTTCATGTTAGTGCAAGGTAGCTGGGATTACTGCTGCGTGGAGAGCACCAGTATAATACCTCGGCAGGCGTAGGAGTAGGAGATGTGCAGGCCAGAGCCTGGGGAGCGGCCGGGAGGATGGGCGGTGGCGCAGATGCTAGAGGCTTCCCACTGAGGGGAAGGACTACAATGATGGAAGGACCACTTGGAGGGAGGATAAAGAGGATTCCTGATCCTGTCTAAGTCTCATTTCCCTCAGTTATAAAACACAGAACCATTACCTTCAGTGCCTACCCCCCACCTTGTGGTTCAGACCAGGTGAGATGATGTGTGTGATTGGCTCTTAGAAGCTGGAAGATACCATCGGAAATTGTAAGAACGACTGACAGTGGCTAGATTATCGTCATCATGCCTTACGTTGCTTAGTATAAAAGCAGCTGCACTTTTAGTCTCTAATACAGTAGCTGGATTTCTACCCTATATTCTCTGTGCAAGTCATTAACAACTTCTATTCAGTATCAAGTGCTTGTCAATTTATTTTAAAATAAATCTTTTTACTTGGGGACTCTTAAAGCTCTTAGAACAATCCATACATCAATTAGTACTTGACAGTTTTTAAAGGTCTGTTAAAAATAAATAATCATCGTCTTATGTCTTATAAAATTCTATTCACTTAAATACACATTTTTGAATCCAGACTGAACCCTGCTCACATGTCAGACACTTGCTTATGTGTTTTTAATGATTAAAGCTGAAAGTCCCAATGAAGATCGTCAGTGGCTGCTTTTAATTCAGCCACTTCAGACAGAATCTCCCAGGCCAAGGATTGGAAACTTGTGTGTGGTCCCTAAAGTGGAATTTGTCTCCTTAGGTTTCATCGACATATTTTCAGAGAGCAAGGAGGGCCTGGACGTTCACTCTGCAATGATCCTGCGCTTCCTGCACCGCAATCGCATCTCTAGCACCATGATCCCCTACCCGATGCTGGACCATTGCAACAACATGTGCACCATGAGGTCTTCTGTCCTGCGGGAGTCTCTGGACCAACTCGTCCAAAAAGAAAAGGGTATGTGTTGGCCTTGGTTGGTTCCCTCCCTCCTCACCCCCCAAAATACTCATTTTTTCTAAAAATAGTAATTATGAATAGGATGAATCAGTCCTTTATTTCTGAAAATATAATCGTGATCATTTGTAGCATAATGGACCCATGATTCCTTCCAATATCACCACGACACACACCTCTCTCTTACACACACACACACACACACACACACACACACACACGCACACTTTCTCTCTTTAAAGCCACTCGTTTCCTCATTATTCTTGTCTCTGCCCAGTTGTGACATAGGGAGGCCTTTCCCGATCACTCCATCTAAGGCATCCACCGCCATTCCCCACCTCCTCATCAATACCACCTTCGCAGGTTTCATAGTCTGAATAGCTTAGCTCACCATTGGAAGTTGCCACATTATTTATTTACTTGTATTTTGTCTCTTTAAACGAAAACACCCAATTCACTGCCATCGAGTTGAAGCCAACTTGTAGTAGTCTTATAGGACAGGGTAGAACTGCGCTTGTGAGTTTCCGAAACTTTAACTATATACTAGAGTAAAAAGTTCCGTCATTCTTCCATGGAACGGCTGATGGTTTTGAACTGCTGACCTTCTGGTTAGCAGCCCAATGAATAATCACTGTGCCACTAGGACTTCTAAGAAATTGTATAGTAGAAGGTAATCCCACTGTGCAAAAGTTCTAATAAGAGGATGCCTTTCTAAGCAAAATAGACCCAAAAACTATAAAAGAAAAGATGGATAATTTAGACTGTATGAAATTTAAAGTTTTGAGCAGCCGTAATTGTAACAAAGTAAAAAAAAAGAAATGATGTTCTAGAGAACAAAAATATTTGAAACATATTATGACTGGTTAATTTTCTTACTTACTCAGACATTGGGGAATTTTCTGTGCCTTAGGTTTCTTATAAAATGAATGAATACATAGGAAATATATAGAACAGTGTCTGAAAAACAGTAAACAATATGAACTATGTTAGTAACTCTGGTGGTGCAGTGGGTTAGACATTGGACTGTGAAACCATGAAGTTGACAGTTCAAACCCACCAGCTACTCTATGAGAGTAAGATGAGGCTTTCTGCTCTCGTAAAGATTTACAGACCAGAGGCTGAAAATACACCTCAGTCAGAGCTGTATTTGGTGCCTTGAAAGGGTATCTAGCCTGTAGCCAGTGAGCCATCCCTGCCTTCAGTGAAGTCAAATCCACTCCGCAGCTTTCTCCCTTTGCCTTTCAACCATGTCCACCAACGAGAACGCTAATTCACCAGCTGCCCGGCTTCACAGATTCAAGAACAAGGGGAAGGACAGCTTAGAAATGAGGCAGTGCCTCATAGAGGTGAATGTGGAGCTGGGGAAAGTTAAGCAGGATGAACTGATGCTGAAAAGGAGAAATGCCAGCCTTTCCTGATGATGCTACATCTCCACTGCAGGAAAACCAAAACAACCAGGGTACTGTAAACGGACCTGTTGATGGCATTGTCAAAGGCTTGAATGCAACAATTTGGACAGCCAGCTTCAGGCAACTCAGGCTGCTAAGAAACTGCTGTCCGGGAAAAACAACTCCCCCATAGACAACAATCTGGATGGGCATGATTCCGAAATGTGTGTCCTTCTTGGGCAGAACTGAGTGTAGTCCCATTCAGTTTGAGTCTACTTGAGTGCTCACTTAACATTGCTCCTGGGGTCTCAACACGGACCAATGATACGGTCAAAGGAGCTTCAATCCCAGCATTCATTTCTCTGTTGGCATCCCTGCATGCTCACATTAGCGAACCAGTTATCTGGGCTCTGGGCAACAACACTGGTGATGGCTCACTTTGCCGAGCCTTGGTTATCAACTGTGGTGCAGTTGACCCGACCTCGCTCTGTGGACTCTCCTTACAGTTCTGATATGTCTTTTTCAGCATATGGTTGCTTGGGGAATCTTACCTGGCCACCTTCAAATCTCTGTTGAAACATGAATCCTGCGCCCCTGTTAGATGGTGTTGAGCAAATTCTCCCTGTTTTAGTGTGTTTCCGGCATCATGATGACCCAGAAGTGTTGACCGATACCTGCTGGACCATTTCCTATCTCACGGATGGTCTGAATGAATGGATTGAAATGGTTGTGAAAATAGAAGTTATGCCACAACTTATGAAGCTTCTTAGAACAACTGAATTGCTTATTGTGGCCCCTGCACTAAGAGCCATAGGAAATATTGTCATTGGGACAGATGAACAGACTCAGGTTGTAATCAACGCAGGAGTACTTGCTATGTTTCTCAGCCTGCTAACAAACGCCAACATGAATATTCAGAAGGAATCTACATGGATAATATTAAACATCACAGCAGGTCCTCAGGAGCAGATACAGCAAGTCGGGAATCATGGATTTGGCCCATTCCTCATCAGCGTTCTCACTCAGTCAGACGTTCAGGCTCGAAATGAAGCCGTCTGGGCTGTGACCAACTTTACAAGCGACGGAACAGCTGAGCAGATTGTCCACCTCGTCCACTGTGCATAATAGACACACGATGAGCCTTTTAACTACAGATAACCAACATTGTTTTGGTTATTCTGCTGCCAATTCAGCTATGTTTCAAGCTGCTGTGAAAATTTGTGAAACTGAGGAACTTAGTGTAATGATTGAAGAAGGTGGCCAGATTGAAACTACAAAACCACGAACACGAGTCTGTATACAAGGCTTCCTTGAACTTACTGAGAAGTATTTCTCAGTAGCGGAGGAAGATCAGAATGTTGTGCCAGAAACTACTTCTGAAGGATGCCTTCCCCTGGGACCTGTAACTTTTAAGATTGTACAACTGGGTCCTAGGGTGGTTTGTTATATACTTTGTTTGTTATAGCTTTGTCTTACTTCTTTCTCTACTAAGAACTCTATAAATGTGATTTGTTATTGTGGTTCTTTTTACAACAAAACTATACTTGAACAGTTGCAAACTGTACATATGTATGAAGCCTGTCTCTTATCACTGGTTTTCTTGTTTCTGTGTGGAATTTCTTATCTTGCAGTGTCCTATAAATAAAGATTAAATTCCACTCTTTTACTTCAAAAAAGAAAAAAATATTTACAGCCTCCGAAACCCACAGGGCATTCCTACTCCGTCCTCTAGGGGTGCTGTGAGTCAGATTCAGCTTAATAGCAGTGAGTGTATGTGTTCAGGTGTGTGTTACATAACGTATGTGAACTATGAAAATCAGTAAGAATGGTGATCCAGTAGAAAAGGAAAAAATGGGATGGCTTTGCAAATAACCAGTGACTTAAATCTTATACATTAATATGACAATCGAGCAATTGTTGGCCAGTTTCTACATTACATAGGGCTCTCTGAAAGGACACTTTTAAGAAACTTATTTTTCTAAGGGTCTAAGTGTAAATATTTTTCAGCTAGAGACTTTGAATGGACCCATTTTTCTGTTGTGAAGGAGATAATCCATGACAAACTCTGGTTCTCGCTGCAGAAAGCCCTGGAGATTTAACCAGAAGCCCAGAGATGGATAAACTCAAGTCCGTAGCAAAGTGTTATGCATACATAGAAACATCTTCCAACCCTGCAGACATTCACCAGATGACAAACGGAGATACGTCATCCTACTGGCAGTCAGATGGCAGTGCTCGCTCACACTGGATTCGGTAGGTGGTAAAGTGCCAGATCTTGAGTGAAAATTTTAAAAATTGCCTGTTTTCTTTTGTACCCTGTCAGTGTATTTTCATTCTTATTTTAGTTTTGGAATGCAGTCTATTAAACGAACTGGTTTTTTTTGTTTTTTGTTTTCCTTATGGTGAACAACTATCGGCTACATGTGTCATGAAGAAGGAATCATGTCAACCTGGTTCCTACACCCACCAACTTGAATAATGTCTTTATGTGGTTTTTCCAGGGGGAAAGAATGTTAGTTTCTGTCGATGCTTGAATCACCGTGACCCACATGACAGAGGAGAAGTGCCCTGTAGCATCTTCTCGGCTGTCATCATTACAGCAGTTGGCCGCTGGTTCTGTCCCCTGTGGAGCTGCTGGGAGGCTTCACACTGCTATCTTCTGGTTAGCAGTCAAGGGCTTCATCCTTGTGCCACCAGGCCTGGGCCAGGTCTCTAGTCTGCCGTCTGCTGTGCACGTGGTTTTCATTGTGTTTCATAGTGTGCTTATGGATTAGCGACTATTAGGGCCCCTCGGTTTGTTCCTGGGTTTTCATTAATGATCTTTTTTTTTTTGGAGTTTTCTTTTTAAAATAATTTTATTGGTGGTTCTTACAGCTCTTATCACAATTCATACATATATCTATTGTGTTGAGCACATTTGTACATTTGTTGCCATCATTTTCTTTTTTTTTTTGCCATCATCATTTTCAAAACATTTTCTTTCTACTTGAGTCCTTGGTA